ACCTCAGCATGGGCAGGGGAAGGGGCCAGGGAGAGGCAAATGTAAAAGGCAGGCTTCAACCTGTATCACTCTCTTCACTTTCAGAGAACAAGCCCATCTCAGAAAATGAGGAAATGAGGAGCCTCCAGCCCCACCACAGAAGTACAGCAGTGGGCAGTAAGCTGTCAGGTCTGTCAGATCCCCCAGAGTGACGAAATCTCAAGGGACAGCTTCTGAAGATCGGGGATAGGTCCTGATCCACACTGGCATCTAGAGGAAGCAGGAGAGTGAAGGAGAGGCGTATTAAACCCAGACCTCGCGTCTGCTCAGCAACAGAGGCTCAAACCTCCCAGTCACACCTGTCTGCATCTTCACCCAGCCAACAAATACTTTCTGAGCACCTATTATGCTCCAGGAACTTCTAGGTAGTAGGAATACTGGACTTTCTTTTCTTTTAAGAAGGTCACAGTCTAGTGAAAGAGAAAACCAAAAACTCAATAACTACAATAGGATGTGCTGGAGAGGCATGCACAGATCACTGATGTTATGTACAGGGTTGGGGTGTGGCTTCAGGAAATAGGCAATCTACAGAGACCTGGCTAATGACAACCAACCCAAACTCAGCTTCTGGCTGGACAACACTCACACTGAGAGAACCAATGGAAGAAATGCAATGAAGTGGGAGAAGAGATGTATTCAAGGTGGGAGGAAGGGGCCTGGGTTTGCTTTATTAACTTGGGTTTAGGCCTTTGGCCCCACCTGCTCAGATGGGTGTTCTGCATTGTTGGGGTGTGTACATGGTCTTGGGTTGGAAGGTGATAGGCTGCTTGGTCCTTCCATTTACTCCTTGGGTAGACATTTTGCCTCTCTCTCAAGCTGTATTGACTCCAGAATCATTACAGTTTCTGTTGTTGTTGCCTGTCTGTTTCCTCTGTGCTTACTTTTTTTTTCCTCTTTCAGGTTTGCATTGACTCCTCTTAAAACGTGGAGCCCACAAATGAATGTAATAAGCAGGTATAATATGATCAGTACAGAGTACAGTAAAACTGTCATCTCCCTTATTTTCTGTTTCTTATTTCCAATGATGCAACCAAAGAAAGAATTTGCTTTTTTGGTAGCCATATCACACCACTGAGTCCCATGAAGCTTACCATCAGCTCACACCCTAAGGGTTTTTTCTATTTATGCTGCTGTCAAATTGCATCTTCCCCCACTCTACATTTGTGTAGAACCTGACCAGTGGCTGAAGGACTAGCATGCATACTTCCCAATTCTGAGTCCTAACCAAGAAATGTCTCAGGGTGAGGTCCTCCCAGCTCCTCAATACACGGAACAAAGCTGTAAACCTGGATCAGAAGAGGGCTGGTGATGAAGCTCCAGTCTATAGGCAGCCCAAGGGGCACTCCCCTTATGGTCATGGACCCTGATGTCTGCAGCAGCTTCCTGGGAACACACAGTTTCCCTGCATCACACTGTCCTTACTGTTTCACCCCCAAGAGTCCAACACACTCCAAATGTTGTGCAGTGGAATCCAGGTATCTTCTCTTTTGGTGTTCCTCCCCTAAAGAAACAACCTCGGTTGATTCAACAGACCTTTATCAAAGACCTCAGGTACAGTGCTAGGCATGGAGGGGAAGTTGCAAAGTTAGATGAGCTTATAACCAGAGTTTAGTCAAAGAGACCCATACCAACCTCTAATGCTAACCATGTGTTAGAACACTTTGAAGAACTCCAGATCTTTTACCTTTATCCTCAAAAACTGGGTGGCAGTTAGATATGGGGCTGGAAATTTGAGCAGAGAGAATAGCAGAGTCTTTCCAGGACCCAGAGATGCATGTGAGGGCCAAGGCCTTCTCACAGGAGAGGAACTCTGGCTGGGGTAGTTGAGGGGGAGAGGAAATGAGGAGCAAGGGGGCAGACAGGGCACAAAAACGAAAGGTGAGGCCCAAGATCAGCCAAAGTGTGTAAACCATGGTTACCATGGCTACTCCTCAGTGGAGACATGAGGAAGCCTGGTACCTGCCCCTCCAATGCCCACCCTACGCCCCTCCATGCCCCTTCTTCTGCACCCCAAACACACTCAGATAAGCACAGCACCACCCTGGATGACCCTGGGGAATGCCTCTCAGAGACATGGAGCTAGAAACCTGGGGAAAGGGGGACATCAAGGCTTTTGCCTCACAAGCTGACTTTGGAACAACGAGCCAGGCTGAGGGGCTGGGCGAAGAAGTTTCCAGCAGAGTCACCCAGATATGCTTCCCCCCCAACCCCGACCTTCCACACCAATAAGTGTCCAGCTAGTCCACAAAGCATCCTCCTCGGCTGTGGTGACTGCGGTCGAAGGGAAGAAAAAGAACATTATAATAATCTAGGGCAGATGGTCTTTCTTTATGGTATTAAGTGGATATGGAATCAATACATCTATAAGTTTATTACAGTTTTCTGAATAAATTTAGAAGTCAAAGATGAGCCCTGGAGGGGACAGAAACTGACCAGCAGGGCTGTTGATTCTTGTCTGCCCTAGGTACTCCTCCTTACCCTCCTCTCCGCTATATTTTGGGGCAGTCATATTCCTCAGCAGTTAGTAGCTCTGCCTCCAGTCCTAGCTGGCTTCTGAAAAACAGTTCTGGTCCATTCATTCCCTGCCTTCCGAGCTACCCGGCCTCTGAATGAGGTCCTCAGGCCTGTCACAAGATGGCTCCGCTCCCCCTTCCCCAGCACCCCAGGCTGCTCTGAAGGTGTGAGAGCTCCTTCTTCAAGGTTTGAATTTACACGGGTCATCCTCACCCTCAGCCCACCTTCATGTTTTCAGATTCAGTTCCAACATGTCACTCTGCCTGTAGGACCTTCCCTGAATCTCACAGACAAATGCGTCAGTTTCCTTTCGCATTGGACTATGTTTATGCCTCTTCTTGCTGGGAGCTGCTAGAAGGTAAACGCAGCCTCTCACTCACATGGCACAGAGTCGATGCTACGGAATGATGCGCGAGGGGGAGAGTGAGTGAGTGAGAATGAATGAATGAATGAACGAATCAAGGAATGATATGCTGGAGGGAAGAGAGAGAAGGAGCGGGAAGGGAGAGAAGGGGGCCCAGAGTCTTCAGCACACATTGTGGGTGCATCACTGCGGCCAGGAACAATTTGCTTCTCTGTCGGCATTACTTTCTGGGACATGGGAGAACTGAGGCTCAGTGTAGGCAAACTGGGTCCAGTCAGCCGGAAGACCATGGGCTTCACTGTTTAGGGGAGGAGTCCCGTGCTTAAGGAAGCTATCAGCGGAAGATCTCCCTGCCTCTTCCTATTGCTCTGTATTGGTTTTTCTCCTTCCCCCGTGGAGCCTTTTCTTCTCCCAGGAAGAATCCAGAATAGTTCAGACAAGCCTCAGATCCTCCAGAACCGAGGAAAGGAACATGTAGTGTTTGTTATAAAGGGCTTTTAAATGGGGTCTGGGAGGTCCGGTTCGATTAGAATCCTGACTCTGCACTGGCTGTGTGAACTCAGGACAGAAATTCACCTTTCCAAACCTCTGTTCCCCAGTCTATGCGGTAGGAAGTTTAGATTAGCTGATTTCTAGGGAGATTGTGAGCAGGCATGATTCAGTTCCACGAAGGGCTGTGGGACAGGCCTGCACTAAGAGGTCCTCTGGAGTGGATTCTCCAGTTCCCCTCCTTCCGCTGGAGAATAGAGGAATCTGCTTTCGCTGCACACCAGATTTGCCTGGAGAACAAATGGAAGGCAGGCCAGGATCCTGGGCGAAATGTGCCACATTTGAGGAGACTTCAACTTCCCCTGCCCTCCAGGTGTGCACGGGAAGGGGGAACGAGGGGGAAGCCAGGGGGAAGCCGGCAAGGTGGGAGGAGAGATGGGGGAGGGACAGGAGGCGGAGCGCAGGTTGCTCAGGGGAAGGAGGTGGGGTAAAATCATCAAGTGTGTAGGCAGCCCTCTTTAAAGTTGCTAATGAGCTTGCCGTCCCCTTCCTTAACTTCCCCCCTACACAGTGTGGTCTTTTCCCCACCCCCAGACATGAAAGGGAAGCAGGTCACAAAGCCTTTCGGATTATAAAAGAAACACTTGCGTCTCACAAGGAGAGCAGCAGACCCTCTCTGTACTAAATGCTAGGATAAGCCACTGGCTGGGCCTTGGCTCTGACCCTCCGGCCTCTTTCTACTGCGCTGCCTGGATGGACTGGCCGATCCCTGCTGGATTCCCGAAGTGCACTGTGTAGAGATAGCAACTCAGGTCAGGCTAAAAGCTCAAAGGACGCGCGTGCGCGCGCACACACACAGCACAACTTCCTTGGGACAAAATAAAATCTGAGCATTCCCCTCTCCTCCATTAAGTCTCTGGGAGGCCGAAGTCTTCAGGTGCAAGGCTCAGATAACCCGCAGTGTCTCGCCAACTCTGGGCTGACCGAGACCTCACTTCTTCCCTTTTCCCATTGTGTTTACAGAACAAGAGAAAGTAAGGGTAGCCTGCAGAAAGACCTCTCCATTCATGGCCCCCCAGGGGTGTGGGTTCTGAAAGGAGGGGCCAGCTGCCAGGCCCTTTCTCCATTGGTTGAGCTCAGCAGGTAACCTGAAGCTTTGCTGAGAGGTGCATAAATAAAGAGTGAAACTAGTACCACCTCCTCGAAATGGGCCGAGTCTCTCCTGCTCACCCTTGACTTGGAAAAACCAGTTTCTCTTTTATTGTCTGTTACTAATCTCTATTCTAAAAATTCAGCTCGATTCTCAACCACACTCCAAACTCTCTCCTTTCTAGCTACTTTTACTCCCTCTCCTTCAATTTCATTTTCCTCTGCTTTTAATTATTTATTTTTTTAAGTATCTCACTTTGTCACCCAGGCTGGAGTGCAGTGGCGCAATCTTTGGCTCACTGCAGCCTCAACGTCCCAGGTTCAAGCGATTCTCCTGCCTCAGTCTCTCAAGTAGCTGGGACTACAGGTGCACGTCACCACACTTGTCTAATTTTTTGTATTTTTTTGCAGGGACGGGGTTTCACCATGTTGCCCAAGCTGGTTTTGAACTCCTGAGTTTAAGGAATCCACCCACCTTGGCCTCCCAAAATGTTGGGGTTACAGGTATGAGCCACCACGTCCGGCCTCGTGTTCTTTTTTATTAAAGAGAGAAATCAACTATTCAGGATCAGCCCCCACCTTTCCTCAAGAGCCATTTCTGTTCTGCACAGGCCTGCTGAACTGGGTGCTTTAAATAGGGTAAGTGTTTCTCATTTTTTGGTCTCTGTCCTCAAACTTTAGGGGCAAAAGAAACATCCGAGACTTGAAATTTCTTTTCTTCTTCTCCTATGCATGGCTCTAGCCATCTCTTTGTTCTGCATTATCTTATGACAAAAAAGGTTTATTATTTTGAATCAAACTCAAAGCTGGGTCCTAATATCTGAAGGCACAGGTACTCATACTTAAAGGTGAGTCTGAAATCTCTGGATTTGGGGAGCTTTGGAAAAACACAGCTGAGTGGCTAGATCAGGGGACTCATCGGGCAGGAAGAGGAGACGAAAATGGCATATTACTGCAGGTCAGTTATCAACTTCCTCCAAGACTAGACGAGCTGAACCTGCGGCATTTTAAACCAATCCCCAGTCGCTGTTACGTTTTTTCAAGGATTTCCAGGGATCCCAGGCAGTAAATCTTGCTGATAAAGGGAACCGGTGTGATAAGGTGGGTGGTGAGCAGTTTAAGCACCAAGATTGCAGCTCTATCTGGTTTTGTGGAGATTTACTCAACTAGATGGACAGATATTCAGCAGGTTTTGCAGTCCTGGGGTGCAGGGTGCAGCTGTACTGGAAAATTTAGGATCTAGTTCCATTCTTTGAGTCTCATGTTAAATTTGGCTTTAAGGTTATGAAGACACTGGGGACATAATCCTGAGGGCAGCTGGGGGGCAGAGAGTGGTCACTGGATAAACTTATCCAATAGCAAGCCCATGCACGGTTTATTCTCTGATCGTGCATGTGCTTGGCTATAGATCCACATAACCACGGTGAAGACCACGGGGGCTGGGGGGACGATTCAGCTGGTGAAGGCATCGTGGGCAGAAGAATCTTGAACCCAGAATCCAGAGCAGGTCAAGTCTCCTGATACAGGTTCTGACTCGTGGTTTTTTTGTCTCTGCCTGTAGCAGCTACAGGTCTGTAGAGTTAGAGGAGAGTGAGAAGGGGAGAGCTCCCTTTTTCAGGGCTGACATTAATGCCACCTCCCATTTGCCTTTTGCAGATCTCTCAAGTATCCATCTTGGAGGGTATGGACCCCATATGACAGTGAGGCTCTCTGCACGCTCCAGAATAAGGACATGAAGAATTTAGTGGATGGTACGTGTTGGGAGGGTAAAAGTGGGGTGCCAAAGGTCTGGAGGAAGAAGAATTGACTGACCCTTTTGCTCTCGGAGTTAAGCAGAAATCTGAAGAGAAGGCAAAGAATCTTGCCTTCCCAGCATTATTCCCTCCCACCATCCTGGGCTATCATTTATTTATCACAGCCAACAGGCTGGCCTCTTTCTTCCCTTTGACTGTGAATGGGTCAAAGGCAGTGCAGGAGGAGTATCTAGTCCAGATAAATCACAAGCAGTTCTCACAGTTCTTACTATTGAGAACTGAGAACTGTGAGTGTTTATTAAGAAGGCAGAGCGGGGGAAGATGAACCAATCTTCTTCCCCTCAATACCCAGATCCCTGCCTCCCAACGAGCTCTGTGTTCACCCTGTCAAAGTCTTTACCTTCAGACCAAGGAGAGTGTGGCCCCTCCTCAGCACTAGCTAGAAACCTCAAGCCCTTGCTTGAGGGTATTTTTCAGAGAGACCCAATGTCCAGAAGGCTAGGTGCAGGGTGGGGAGGCAGGGAGGAGCCACATATGAGATACTGCCTCCCTGCATCGGGTCAGAACAAGCCCCAGGAAGAAACTACTCCAAACAACAAGATGCATCTGCCCCAACCCACCCAGTCTGCATGTCGGTGCTGAGAACAGCCTTTTATGGGGCTTGCACTGAGCCACGGGCATGTCTGAACACAACAAGGAAGAGGCCAGAGCAGCAACTGCACAGCAACGGGCTGATGAGCATTGCTTTTCAGAAAGGGCAGAAAACTATCTGACTCAGTCTATGAAAGCCAGGTTAGCTTTACCCCCTCCTCCCTAAATCCTCCATCCCCATGCCCAACCAAGAAACAGCTGAATCATTTTCCGCATCTGGGGGAGGATGTGGGGCCATTGGAGGCTGGCCTTCCTAGATAAGTCTTTATGACTGAGGACAAGGAGTCTTACTCTCCTCTGTCCACCCACCCCATGAATGGGCCTGGCTCCTGACGGGAGTTGTGGTTTTTCCTGAGCGCCTCACCTACCTCTTCTGGATTTCACTCTGGCAAACGGGGCTGCAAAGTGCTCATCCTGCTCTCTGGACAGTGCCTTGTGGAGAGGAATGCCCATGACCCTGCATTCCACGGCCTTGGTAAGCAAGCTCAGAGTAGCTGGGTTTTTCTAAAGCAATTGCAGAACGCCTGCCTTCTCTTTTTCCTTTAGAAAGGGCCAACCACACTGAGCTCAGTTATGGCACACACAGTGGGACCCAGACAAAGGGAGAGGGTGACCAGCATCCCAACTAGGTAAACACAGAGGAGGTTCCACCTGGAGTTATCTGGGGTGGCTGCTTTGATAATGAGAAACAGTCAAGAGTCCCTGGCCTTGCAGACCCATCTCCTAACGCATCCAGCAGGTGCAAGGATGTTTTGATGAACTAGCTCTCTGCAGCCCCCTTGAAGGATGTGATCCTTGGAGAGGGGTAGGAGTATTCAGGTCCTTGACATCTCCCAAGTGTGTGATTCAATGATGCCAAAGGCCTTTGGCCAGGTAACGCAGTGTCCACAGGCTGGGCTTGACATGCGTCCCCACCCTCTGAGAAAAAGATCCTCGGGCAATCCATGTGCTTCTCTTGTCCTTCATTCCACCGGAGTCTGTCTCATACCCAACCAGATTTCAGTGGAGTGAAGTTCAGGAGGCATGGAGCTGACGACGATGAGGCCCCGGCAGCCACAGCAGCAGCAACAAGAGTAACTCTGACTTAGGAACAGAGACAGCCAGAAAGAAATGCGATCAGTGAAAGAGACATCTGGACTGCACGTACTTCTGCAGAGGGGACTGGTGATAGGCAGATTGGAAAAAGCACCACAGATGGGAACCACTTAATCTTTCTTTTCTAAAATTGATGCTATGAAAATTTGCGTTTTCTGTAACTTATAAAACTTAAAGGTTGCCTGTCTACTGAAAAGCCTATCTGCCTCTATGGTTTATACTGTTGGATGCCAACTCCAGGCCTTCTAAGCCACCTCCCCTTTAGGCTAAAACTGAGACATGAGCTTGAAGAACTGACACTGGCTTTCCCTCTCTTTGGGGTCCCCAGGCAGGTGGCTGGGACACTATTAGCAATCAGCAAGGAACCCTGCCGCCCTTAGACTTCCCACAGAGCAAGCAGAACTGCAGAATGGGGTAAAAAAACCTCTATTGAGGTTTTTCAAATCCATTTATATTGTAATAAAGTAAATGTAAATAAGATTTAAGTGAAGGCAGATTGCAGAGATTTCCGACGCTATACAATACATATCTCATAGTATGGGTGTAAATTCTGCAAAGGTTAATGCAGTTAAAAATATTTGACACATAAAAATGTCAGATCCAACATTAATCATTCACCAATTGTAATTGCCTTTCTGTGGGTCTCTTCTCCCCAAGACATATGCTTAAAACACCAGGCTCAGTAGAAATCTGGGAGGAAAAAAACAAATAATACTTCTCAGTTGTCAGAGTCTATGATTGCTTTGATAGATTTAACACTGACTTCATTCTCTTTGCAATTCTGTGTGATTGATATGTGTGTGTGTGTGTGTGTGTGTGTGTGTGTAGGAAGAAGGTGTAGAACAAGAGAACGTTCTTAAGTCCAAAGGAAGTCCAACCCAGTTATAAAGGGAACACCACTCACAAGCCATTTTTATAATTGTCCCCTTCCTCAGATAAAGGAGTCCCCTTTAAGGAGCCAGTCTGGCTAAGTAGACCGAACAAAGCCTGGCCCTGACATGTCTTGAGAAAAACCGGTTTTCACCTCCAGAATGTGCCCCAGGCAGCAAAATGTATCAGCTCTCCATGGCTGAGTGGTGTTTTTCTTAGGAGCTCACTCTAAAGGAGATTCCAGCTTTGCGGATGGATACCTGCCACTTGAATGGCCAAGCCCTGTCCCCCAGCCAGTGACCTCTGAGGGACATGGGTCTCTTCACCTTCCCCCAACTCTTCCCTGGTTTTTGACCCCTGAGGGTCCCAGATTGCCAGCAGGAACTAAAAGGAATAAACCTTTCCCCAAAATATTTTTCTGTGTCAAGTCAATACAGATTTAAAACCTGGTTTCTGTCACCCCCACCCCTTCATTCTGAGGCCCACAGGCAACGAAAGGGTGAAGAAGCCAAGCCATGGCATTTTTTAAGAAGATGTTTACTCATAAACATTACGTAGTAAATCCAATTGTGGGGTGCTGGTTGTCCAGCAAACTCCTAGTTAACCAGCAAACACCTCCCATTCAAGGTTCTGAAACAGGCCCCAAGATCAGAACAAAAAGCACAAGACAGACACGGTGTGTCATTTCTATTTGCTGCTCAGTTTGAGCCCTATGACCTGGAATCTTTTTAAAGGAAATAAATGCTTGTGTATTTATGTGCCACCTGGCCCAGGTAGAGGCAGGAACCAAAATGGCCAGCAATGGTGACCAGAGGGTAGACCATCAAACACTAGCCAGGGCACAATGCTGTGACTACAAAAGGTTCTACCTGATGTGCTTCTGGGTCCCCCCACACCCCAAGTCTCACGCAAATGCTATCTTCACAAGAAAGGCGCAGGGCTCCGTATTTCTGGCACCGCGGTCTGAACTGCCCACCTCCTCCCACCAGCGCAGCACAGATTGCTTATTCCCTCTTGCAGGAAAAGAAAGCCCAAGCCTGGCCCCGAGCAGCTTGCCAGGGAAGCCAGTGTGTGCTGCGAGCTGGCACGAGGTGCTCATCCATCTCCTGTGTCCAACCCCCACTCTTTAATGCCTCCTGTCTTCATTGCAAAGCATGGCTCGCCAAAAGCACAACGCAGAGAAAATGGTTTCATCAAAATTCCCTTGCCACAACAACAACAACAAAATAATATTACCCTGCTTTCATTATTCACGATCTTTTATTGAGGCAAAAGGCAAATATCATTGAGCCAAACCTGAATAGACAAATATATACAACCACTGGTAATTTCATATTTTGTGCTAATGGTATACACTGTAGATACAACCTAAGAGGAGTAAATTACAATCCTATCAATAATACATCGCATCCGGGCTCCAGTTGCCCAGTACACAAGAAAATGTGTATTGGCAAAGGCTCTCCGAATATTAAAAGCCATGCATATCATGGGGCGGTGGGTACAGAAGCTAGAAACTCCCACAGGACTGTGTTCTGGCCTTTGTTATCAAGGCCTTTTAGTACAGAAAGAGCCCACACTGAAGCTCCAAAAACTGATGCTACATGCACACATCCCATTCACATTCTTGGCAGATCTCTAGGTGAAGTTTCGATCACAGAATAACCTATAATCAGGGCACCAGTTTGTAGACCACTTGGAGCACTGCCCCGAATTGGACACCTCAGGTCTATGGTAGATGCCAAGGTTCTGCTGGGGTGACCCGTGATGACGGACAAGGGACTCCAGAGAGCCCCAGTACAGCCAGCAATTTTTGAGAGACCATGTGGCTTCAGAGCAGCCTCTCAAACATGTGCGTGATCCTCCAAAAGAAAAAAGGGAAGAAAAAGGCAGGACTGATGAAAGGCAAGGAGCCAATGACCCGCAAAGAAAGATTTACTTTGAAATTTAAAATGCTCCAGTGACTAAATTTTTGTCAGTGGATCCAAATTCCCTTACTCCTCCCTGCAAGAGAAGCAAATGCCAGTCTTACTTAAGAGCAGAGAGGAAATATTTCTACCACAGTCTAGTAATGTCCACCAAGGTTAATGTAGGCAAGAGGGCTACTTAGTGCCACAGTCACACACTGGTACTTCATTGATTTAGGGATATTTGAGGAAATTTACAGGGCAGAAGAAACAGTCTCTTTCTTGTCTCTTTTTCAATCAGCCCCTAGAAGAAAAAGGAGACGCCGAGGAGGAGAGGGAGGCTGTCAGGGTCTCTCAGGCAAAGGGAACGGGAAGCAGACAGCAGCCCCAACCTCAAGCTCAGAGATGAAAAGCCCTGGCCAGACACCAGTTCATTAGTGGAAATAAAAGCTTCCTAAATTGCAGGGATCTGGCCGGCCTTTATGGAGAGACACCTATGCATCAAAGAAAAATAATGTGAAAAATTCTCTTTGTCTGGAGACAAGAAGCAGCATCTGGGAGTCTTGTCACAGCCTCCCTCCCTCCTTCCCACAGTCTCTCCACCATCCACCTTCAAATCCTCGGTCCCCTTTGGAGGGGTGAAGATGGCCATTTTTCCTGCTGCCTGTCAGATAGCAGGGACCGGTGGGACACCTGGTGGGGAGGGGGGAAATTACAGCCACATTGGACCTCAACATCACTACCCAGGCCTAGGGAAACGTGTATTCTCAGAGCGTGGGAAAAAACAAGGCTAGCATCTTTCTAGGGGATGTAATATTGAAGCGGACTTTAAATGTAGTAGCAATTGACCTAAATTTCTGCTATTTTCAATTGTGTTTGGGAAGAGATGGGTGGCTCAGCATAAACATAAATAAATAGAATCCATAAACAAATATATACCATAATGTTTAATGCAACTCCCACATTATTTAAACTTAAAGTTGCATTGAAAATGGATATTATCCCAGTGGACTCACCAAGTCAAACAGCTGGAATAAGTTCCCCAAAGATAAGCCACAGTTGAGAAACATTCACCAGAGAGAGTGGAACATTAACGATGTGGACAAGGGACTCCAGAGAGCCCAGGACAGCTGGCAATATCTGAGACACCATGTAGCTTCAGAGCAGCCTCCCCAACTTGCTCAAGGCAAATACTGAGGAATTTCTTATTTGCACCCAAGAGGTTGCCAAGAGCAGCCCAAAGCTTCTGAGTCAGCGTGTGAAGTGGTTAAGAGGGGTCAAATTAGATCTGGTGCCAATTTGATATGGCTGTGGGGACTTTGGGCCGGCCACTTAACCTCTCTAAGACCCAATTTCCTTATCTGTCAAATAGAAATAATGATAATAATGGCAAGTACTTACTAAGAGCCAGATACTGCATGCTTTGTGTATATTAAATCATTGAATGTCCCCAGCCATTTTAAGGTATGACTGATATTTCTGTTTATGTATGAGAGAGGGAAAGGGATCAGCCAAGGTCACGCAGCGTGTGAGTGGCAGAGCTAAGATCCAACCTGAGCTTCCTGATTCTGGAGTTCACACTTGGAGCCACTACTCGGTCCTCTCTCTTAATGTTAGTGTGAGAATTAGATAATGCATGCAAAGGTGTCAGCAAGTGCCTAGCCCTAGTAAATTTCATGCACTCAAAAATATTATGGATGATGGTTATCTCAGTATCAAGTAAAAGCATCTTCGAGAAGCTTGCCTAGTGCCCACTCAGGTGGAATAAGTAGCCATATGCACACCTTTGGCTGCCAGATCCAGCATTAAACTTGCTGTGCAATTTAGTAACACCTTTAGGTCAACCTTAGCTTTTATCACAATTATCTCCTCCTCCCATCACCTTCCTTTTAGGAGAGTTCTCACTGGTTTTTTTTTAGCTTTACATTTAGTATATATATCATGCTGTAGGAGCCTTAAGAGTTTCCTTTTTCAAAATTGTCATGACGTCAATGAGAAAGATACAACGATTTTTCCAGTATAAGTGCCATTTCAAATTTTTATTTTATTTTTCTGAACGCAGGCGAAAGGTACTGGTGAGAAAGAAACTGGTGAAGATCTAATAAAGAAAAAAGAGTTGGTTTTTGTTTGTTTTTTTGTTTCTTGTTTTGAGATAGTCTCACCTGCCGCCCAGGCTGGAGTGCAGTGGTGCGATCTTGACTCAGAGCAGCCTCCACCTCCCGGGTTCAAGTGATTCTCCTGCCTCAGCCTCTCAAGTAGCTGTGACTACAGGCGTGCACCACCATACCTAGCTAACTTTTGTATTTTTAATAGAAACGAGATTTCACCATGTTGGCCAGGCTGGACTTGGACTCCTGACCTCAGGTGATCTGCCTGCCATGGCCTCCCAAAGTACTGGGATTACAGGTGTGAGCCACTGTGCCAGGCCAAACAAAAAAAAAAAAGAAAAACAAGAAAGTGGAACAATCAATAGAAATCAAGCAAGAAATAGCAAACCAATGATCAGGGAGGAGGATGCAATCATGCCTCTGTGGCACGGGTACTGAGCTTAGCAATGGAGAAGCAGCTTCCTGCCCAAGCCCCGTCCCATGGGTTCCATCAAAGAGATTTCCAATGTTGAGGCAGCTCTGACACCAGGAGTGTCATCCCCAGGCTGGAGCTCACTCCCGAAGACCTTTCAGAGATGAGAGTGGGACCATTATGTCACCTGGACCCCTTGGACACCTGGCTTCATATTAACATTCCCTCTTGTAAGTATCCAGCTAATTTTAAAGTATGAAGTTCGTGGCTGGAGAACACTCACCTGGCAAAGTTGCCAGCATGAGGGAGGTTGTCACCTGAAAGTGGACAAAAAGCAGGCCAAAGGAGAAACTAAAACTTTTTACAGAACGAGCTCCTTTTGTCTCATTACCTTACCCTGTGACCATCTACCTTCTAAGAAGGAAGGAAGCCTTGAACAAAGGAAGTGCCCCTTTTAATAACAGAACCATATCAATTACATTTCATTACTACACCATTATGGCACGTTGCATTATAATCCAACCGTTAATGGCCTCACCTCAGAAGCCCACATCACTCCCCTCTGCCCTCCTAAATGCCTGGCTTTTAGCTGAGTCAATTTCTACTGCAATTAGATCCAGGCTCCCTCCTTCTTGAGTCAAGCCCTTGCCAGCAATGGCAGCAACTTCCCTATGCCCCTCCACAGGGGCTCTATTAAACATTTCTTGCTACTCAGAGCTATTTTTGAAAGTTGCCATGGATTCATGAATCAGTGGTATGTTTTCTTTTAACTTTAATGTGCATACAAGTCACCTGAGAATCTTGTGAAAATGCAGATTCTGATTCAGCACACGTGTGGTGGGCCCTTAGATTCGGCACTTTTCACCAGCTCCCAAGTGATGTCACCGTGGTGCCTGGACCACATTGTGAATAGCAAAGGGCTAGGGGGCTCAGGATTCAAAGCCCTGTTCCCCTACACTATTCCTCTCAGTTTAGCAGGAAGCCCAGACTCATGTGTCTCTGGGTGTCTCTCCTTTTCCTCTGGCTTCTCCTTCAAGTAATTGGTATCTTGGCCAATCTGGGGAGACAGGAGAGGCCCAGAGAAGGACACAGGAGGGTGTGTTTGGCTTGTCACAGCAGCAGAGGCTCTGACAAGTGATGAAGAAGTTGGGGCCTTTTCTGAATGTGAAAATGGCCTGGGTGATCCCTACTCAGGAAACACCAGCGGTTTAGCATAGTACCAGTGCCCCCAACACCTAATACGTGAGGTAGATTATGAGAAGTGAAATGTTTGTGACCCAGAAACTAAGAAAAAGCAACTTCAAGTAGTTTGACAATTGACCACCAATCTGGAGCAAGTAACCATGGATACATTTTGGCTACCAGAAGACCCAGAGCTAAACATAGTGGGTGTTTTCAAGATTTAAGAAGAAAGGAGTTAAGTCATTTACTAAAAGTCAAGATTCTGGGCCAGGCCTTAAACTGACCCAGTTCTTCTGCCTCTTAGCCTAGTGTTGTTTCCAACAAGCCACTTTATTGCTTTGCTGAGGAGCTACTCCTCTCTCATTAACTTTACAATGTGGATTTGTCATCACCCAAAACTCAGTGCTTCCATCCCTTTTTTTTTTTCTGGAGAATGGGATCTGTAAAGTAGAGCTGATAAAATTTTAAAATTAAATATTCAATATAAATATGTTTTTTAAAGGATATTTAAAATCTTTCGCTATTTTTCTTTTCCAATGTTTACTGGAGAAATGAATACCATCAATAAATGGGCATGCCATGCAGTGATGTTGGATCAGAAAGTCAGTAACTGGGTGGGAAAGACTTAAGCTGACGCAGGATAGATTTGGGTTCAAATTCAGTGCCTGTGGCCTTCAGCAAAACAGTGAATCTGTGCTTCAGTTTTTAAAATGTTACAAGGCGAAACAAAGTCCCCACCTCTCAAAGTCATTGCAGGTACAAAAAGTACTTCATAAATGATAAATATGAAAATAATTATTTTCATCCATCTCAATTATAGTAGGATACTGAAGAGGATCAGAACATGCCACCTCAAACATGCCAACTTGGCATGAGAATTATTTTGACTTGAAGGCAAGTGAGAAGACGCAGACATAGGAGAAGTTCTTTTTCCCTCTCCTTAACTGTCTAACAACAACATAAATGTTTCCTTTGTAAAGGTAACATAAATTTCCATTTGTAAGGGTTCCTCCCTGTGCTGTACCAGGAAGATAACTGTTTTAGAGGCAACACTTATTACCTGAGATGACTCATCTGTATAACGAACTTTATTATGTAACTCTTAATTACCGCACATTTTCTAATCACCTTCCCACAACTTACTCCCACCACAGGAACCCAAACTCCTTTTCCCTTGTCTAGCTTTTTTCTCGACACTTTATCACCCTTTGTTAAGATAGTACATAAGTTCCGAATCTAACCTCCTTCTTCCACATTTCTTTATGAACTTCTGTGCATACCTACTCAAATCTGTTTCCTTCTTCTGTTAAACTGGTGTTTATTAGTTTGGTTTGTGGGCCCCAGCCACTGAACCTAAAAGGGTAGAGGAAGAATGTTTTCCCTTACTAAACAGAGAAAAGAAATGACAGCAGGACAAGGGGGGCTGAGGCAAGGCTGTGAGGTCATAGACAGCCTTATAAGCCCAGCTTTATAAGACACAGAAGGACTAGTCCTTAACAAAGTAAAGGTCTAAAATAAAATGTTCAGGCTGAGCGTAGTGACTCATACCTGTAATCCCAGCATTTTGGGAGGCTTAAGTGGGAGGATCATCTGAGGTCAGGAGCTCAAGACCAGCCTAGTCAACATGGTGAAACCCTGTCTCTACTAAAAATATAAAAATTAGCTGGGCATGGTGGAGCATGCCTGTAGTCGCAGCTACTTGGGAGGCTGAGGCAGGAGAATCACTTGAACCCAAGAAGTGGAGTTTGCAGTGAACTGAGATCATGCCATTGCACTCCAGCCTGGGTGACAG